GTATGTCCTAGTTTACAGTACAATATTACCAGAGAAGCTGCTTCACAAGATTAGGTTAACAATTCTTAATGCCTTTTCGGCAATGCTGTTACAGTGAGCTCTGGTGCTTAGATCATTTGATATGAGTACTCCAAGGTCCTTGACAGAGTGGGGGTCATCTACGAGATTGTATCTGCCTAGCTTATATTTGGTGTTCTGATTTTTTTTTTTTTTTTGCCAGTAAGACAAAGCATTTGTTGGTTGAGATTTGGAGTTGCCAATTGTTTGACCATTTAGATACATAGTCAAGGTCGTTTTGAAGGGCAACAGCATTTTTGGTGGTGTTGAATAGTTTTACGTCATCAGCAAAGAGGACGCAGCTGCTTTTGAGATGATCGCAAAGGTCATTTCTGTAAAGTATAAAGAGTGTGGTTCCTAAGACGTTGCCTTGTGGGGACACCACTGTTAACTGATGCAGGGTTTGATAGGGCTCTCCCTATTTTGACTATTTGTTGCCTGTTGATAGGAACGCAGCTATCCATTTATGTAGGGATCCGGAAATGCCATAAGAGCTTAGTTTTAATTTGTCATGCACCATTGAATCAAAGGCTTTGCAGAAGTCTATGTAAATTATGTCTATTGCTTTACCTTGGTTGAGTTGTGAAGTTCAAATTTTTCTGCAGTGTAGGAGTTGCAGATTACAGGACAATTTTTTTCTGAAACTGCTTATTAGAGAGGTTGTTTGCCTCTAGGTAATGGATTGGTTAATGATTGATTCCATGACTTTGCAGGTGACACAACATAGTCAGATTGGTCTGTAATTTTCAACTAGGCTGGGGTCTCCTTTTTTGAAGATAGGGATGACCATGGCTAAAGACCATAGGTTGGGCATGGAGCTGGTTCTGAAAGATATCTCATAGATTATGCTTAGAGATTCTGCTATGGCAGTGGAAAGCTTTTTTATCAAAATGCTACAACTATACTGAATGAAGAAGCAATGGAATTGTGAATGTTCAATATATGGCAGTCTCTCACACATACACATGAATTAGCTTAGTTCTCTGCATGATAACATGCTTGTATGCATCATTATGACATATAAGACATGATAGTATAGCGCAAGGGTCTGCAACCTTAAACACTCGAAGAGCCATTTGGATCCGTTTCCCACAGAAAACAAAACACCAGTAGCCACCAAATCTGGGTGGGCGTGGCTAACTCAATGTCAGTTACTCTCACCAAGTCACATGACAGCCCCCAGCCACACCTACCCAGGTTTTGTGGCTCTTTAGGTTTTCTTTTCTATGGGAAACAGGTACCTCTCTCTCTCCCTCTCCCTCCCATTTCTTTCTTTCTTTCTCTCTCCCTCCCTCTCCCCCAACTATTTCTCCCTCCCTCTCATCTCTTTCTTTCCCTCCCTCTTCCCAACTCTCTCTTTCTTCCTCTCTCCCCCTTCCTCCCCCTCTCATCTCTTTCTCTTTCTCCCATCTCTCTTTCTCCTTCTCTTTCTTACCTCCTCTCCCCTTCTCTCTCCCCCTCTCCCTATCTTCCTCTCTCTCTCCCCCTCCCTGTATCTCTGTGCATGTGTTTGTGTGTTGCGCTCTCTCGCTCTCTCTTGTGTGTGTGTACATGCATGCACAGGGCAGCTGGATGCTCGTTTGAGGGTTTAACAAGATGCAAAAGAACATGGCTTCTCTCCTGGACTAAGGCTCCAGCCATCACCTTGCCATGTCATCCCCCTGGCAGCTCTTCCGCTCTCGCTCTCTCACGCACACATGGAGTGGCTGGCTGCTTGCTTAAGGAGAGTCTTCATAGGAAGCAAAAGGACATGGCTTCTCTCCTGCACTAAGGCTCTGGCTATCACTTTGTCATGTCATCACACACACACCCCCGGGCAACTCTTTGGCCAAGCGCAAAGGGCACAAGCTCCAATCCAAAGTGGCAGGAAGTGAAGGCTGCCTTATGCACAAATGTGGTGCGAAGGCAGGTACTGGGCTCCTGCACTAACCTCCAGCGACCTCCAGTTCATGCAGGGGGGAGGGGACATGGCAAGGCATGAAGCATACCCAGCACCAACAAGGGCCAAAAGAAGCTCCACAACAGTGAAGTGCTGGAGAATCAGCCCTGGCTGCTTCTCCATCCCGCTGCTGCCCTTACCGTCTCAGACCAGAAGAGGAAGGGGAGGGTGAGGGGGGGGGCAGCAAGTGATGGGACAGGGAGCTGCAGGTTGCCAACACCCGGTATAGCAAATTAATTTTCTGAGACGAGATTTAAAATATAAATTCACAGTCTATGTGAACACCACGTAATGTTACTTTACTGTATTCATAGTACAGCAACAATATTCCACTGAGAACACACACCCTCATGGCTTTCAAGATTAAGTGCAGAAACATAAGATGAGTTACAGGCATAGATCATGACTAACTGTTGAGCATATATATATATATATATATATATGCTCAATATATATATATATATTCCCAAGTGTCAATATTTTAACACTCTCTCTCTTATAGACGGAAATGTGAATGCTGCTGGAGAAAAGGGACCCACCTATGTCTCATTCAACCAACAATAGCCAGCACTGTATTCTCCTGGTTGGCCAACTGTATTTGCATATGGTTTACCAGGGCTGGCATCCTTGTAGTACTGACCACTGAAAAGACCCAGCGCTTGCTATGCTCGCGTTGCGCTAATGCCAATTTGGCTCACTAATTGACCTACACATCAGGAGTGTTTATATTTATAAAAATATCTTCCAGGGATTTAGAATGTTTCCAAGCCCCTTCTACGAACGATGCCTTCTTTCTCTCCGGAAATATCAGATGCTCCCAATGCTAGAGTATGACAATCCCACCATGGGTGCTTTCCCCCCCCCCCCCCCCCGAGCAGACGCCTCACTATTACAAAAGCGCTTCCACATTCCAGAAGTGGCCGCGGTCGAAGCGCGGTAACTATTTCACAGTCTCGAGAATTCCTTTTCGGACCGCGGGAGCCTCCTCCCCTTCCCTCCCCTCCCTTGTCGTCCCCAGACATACTCCTACCTTGGTACGCGAGGCTGAAGCGCGAGCCCATCGCCAGCAGAACTACCAAGTATAACGAAGTCCCCGCCATGACCCTCGCGGTTGAGAAGTTGGGTCCTCGCTGTTCCAAGGCTCGTCCGAGTGAAAGGCAGGAACAGTGGGACGGGGAGATAGAGCTCTTCGCCAAGCAAGCCGTGGGGCGCTCTGTGGAAACTCCACCCTTGCCTCCTCTTCCCGCTGGCGAAGCGCACTGGAATCCTCCCTTTTCACGCCCCCCTCCCAACACCCTGGATAGAATTACGGAGATTGAGGAGAGACGCCGTAGGTGCCTTCCGAGGGTACACGAAACTTGCTTCCAACCCGTTCTCCCAGAGGGACTAGCGCCTGTTCGCACTTTGTGTGGGCGTTTTTTCTGATTTCACACAAAGGTTTAATAAAATCTTCACCACGCAGTTCCAAATACACTTTTTTTCCTCCTTTCCCTTGCTGACTCGTTAATTCCCGAAGAGAGGCTGTAGAGGGAATGGTTGGAAAAAGCTGGAGACCTCCATGAAGTTAGTAGGAAACTGAAGCGCAGTCTGTCTCGGGGCTCCTCCTCCGACAACTCTTCCAACCTTCCGCGGTTACAGCCTGGGCAGACAACAGAGACTGCAAACCTCAGCTCTGTCTACTTTGACCGTCTTGGGACAACAGCAGAATGTTTACTTTTGAATCCTCTCTATTGTCGTTCCGGTAAGGTGCACATTCCAGAACTGAGGCAGTAAAGAATAGACCACCATCTACAATGTTCACAAGAAGAACATTATAGTGTGCTTCTCTTTGGCACCTTTACTGGAGAACAACACTGGAAGCATACTTTTAACCTCCAGAATATCTAAATTGCCATTGTGAAAAAGAGGACACTGATTAGATAAGCCAGGGGAGAAAAACCAGATCCAGTTATTTCAAAGGTGCTTTTTCAAAAGGCAACTGGACTGTTTTTTCCTTGAAGAAAAAGTCATTTCACTTTTTATCCAAGAAGCTTCAACAATTCTGCCAGGATGGTGGCGGCAATGGAAGGAATAGTTCTGCAGGATTGGGGTGGGGTGGGGGAAAGTGGAGACTGGAAGGATATTTTACTTCCATAAATCCCACCCTCCTGCCAGAACCGATGAAGCTTTTTGGATGAGAAGCAAAACATTTTCTTCTTTCTTAGAGAAAAAAAAGTCCCAGTTCTCTTTGGAAAATCACTTTTGAGACAATTATGATCTGGATGACTGAGAATCTCCACAGACAATTCATTTGCCTTTGCAGGCTAGTTGATGTAAAGAAGAGGGTTGTCCTGTCCCTTGGAACCCAGTCATCATTCATTCATCAGACAGGCAATTGAAGAAGGCAGCATTTCTGGTTTCCTTGCACAAAATCCTTGTTTGACAGTTTCTCCATGCCTTGAACAGATGAAGCCATCAGGCAGAAAATGAATCAGCATCTTGAGAAGTTACCCCATATGTGAAAACACTCTTGCTGGGATATTTGTAAGCCTATCTTATACAAATTAGGACTGTGTAGTGCAATGGATTTGAATGGAAAAAGTTCCAAAACAGATTGTATCTAAGACTGTATAATAAGGGAATCCTGTGCTTTTGACTATTGCCTTCAAAGGCATGTACCAGTATTCTGTTTTAAATTTCCAGATTACAGAGACAAACAAATCAGTGTTATTGTACAGTAATTCATAATGGAACAAAGCTCCATCATGTTAATGTGATACCAAGAGTTAAAATATTTTCACTGCATCATATAAACTGTTACTTACACATTAATTTAATATCCAATATTTTAGTAAAAATATGCTAAATTATCTTAAGGTTTAATGTTTGCAAATGTTTCCTTCTAAAGGTAAGACTACAAAGAACAAACACTTTCCTTAGATATTCCTCTGCCTACTTCTAACCAAAAGAGTGCACATGCAGTCGTACCTTTTTAGGGCAAAAAGGCCACAGTCCTTATTCCAACTTCTGATGTACAAAAATATATTTTATTAAAATCACTGAAAGTTAAGGCCACAACAAATCAATAAGACTATTTCTCATTTTACTGCAATAGTAAAATTATGAATACAAATAAATATTGGAAGGTTGGTCCAAGTTAATCTAGATCAGTCCCCAAATGCTAAATTTTATGAAAAAAAATGTAATCTTTACATAGATGCCATTATTGTTTCCATGTATAAACTGCAATATCTGCTTGTAAGATCTCACATATATGCAAGCCTTATAATTTCCTTACTAAAGAATTACACATGTAGAGGAAGATTTTCTGTTCTGATATATTGATGGTGATCCCCTTTGATTTTTCCCAGTATGGTTCTGGTTTTCATCTTTACACATTTCAGCAGATACATTGGCTTGATTTTCTGTATCCTGTTCGCTTTGAGGTAGGTTTTCCAGTTTGCTTTCATCACAACTATGTGCGTTTTTCTGCTTCATAGACCTTCTTTTAAAAAAAGAAAACTGAAACATAAAAAGAAAACAACAAAGTATGTAATAAACAACGCTGAAACAAATGAATAATATAAAGAAATACTATATAAAATAGTTAAAAAGAAGGCAGCCTGTAGACTTTATACATACTATTTTGAAATAGTATGAATTAAGAATATATTATATCTACAATTTGGTTCATATATTCTAAAGAACATTCCATTGAATTCCAAGGACTTATTTTGAAATAAACTTGCACTATATTTCAGATTTTAGCCTTGTAACTACTATTAAAGCCAGCAGAAGTAGGATAAATGACTAAAGTTCCCAATGAATTATTGTAACAAACTTATGCAACCACATTATAATTGGTAACAGATGTTTTATTTACAATGTTCAAATAGAGTGCAAAATATTTTGCTAACATAAATAGAATTATGTCACAGCAGCTTACTTAGCTTTCAAACTAGCTCTTGTAGCTCTTTCTATTGTTAAATTATCCTATCCATTGTTTTCTAATTTGGTTAAATTCTTTAATTTCCTTCCATTCAAAATGCCGAAGTTAGAAAATAACTTGGCTATAGAAATCTTGAGCACTTTGTAAAAATTTGTGAAAGGCCCAAGTATCTTAGAAATTCATGTGTGATATAACCAGGTTGTATTGTTTATACAACCTGGTTAAATTTTTAAATTTAAATTTTTTCAAACATGCATGGACAGAGCATACATTTGTCATACTGTATTACGGAAACTGCATATTTCAATTCCAATGTTTTTTATTGGAAAATCAGAACATTATTGTAATAAATGAGCTAAAACATTTGGATAGAGTTAACCTTCATCCTTCTGCTGATGGAAGCAAAAACCAGAGGAGAACACACTAATTGAAATGTATAGCACTCCCACCTCTGCAAACTAAAATAAATAGTATTACAAAAGTAACACAGTATTTTTCTTTGTTTCCTATTATACCAAAGAGGGTCTAGATCTTGATTCATAAAAATAGCAAGGAGAGTAGCCAACCATATTTAAGAACATTGTGCTCAAATACAAATTAGCATACTAAACAATTAGCAAAAATCTACTGAAATTAATATAAATCTAGATCATAACTAAAAAACATATAATTATCTGAAATATACAAATGAAATGGGGCGGGTAGGCCATTATGCAGCTCCAAATATGTATAAGTCAAATATGGAATAATTTTTCCTTTTTTATATTGTTGCAAATGATCATATCTTAGTTTTACCCTTTTTGCCTTATCAAGTAGTCTTCCAGATATTCTATCTTGATTGTCTGTAGTTGCTTGTGAAGAATTATTCTCTGTATGGATCTCAGCATTCTCACATGCTAAAAATAATACAATAAATCAGCCACTATTTTAAAATATGTTCAAGTTGCTTCAGTCACAATTTTCAAGTGGTGAACTATTTAGCTAATTACCGTATTTTTGGACTATAAGACGCACCAAGATGTTGAAGAGGTAAATTTTTGTGAAAAACAGGACATGCAGAGAGTTTGAGAGGCCTGCAAAGTGCTCCTGGGAGGCTGCCCCCCCCCCAAATGAGCAAAAAAATGGCCCGTTTTTCGGCAAAGAAGGGGCATGCATATGCTTTGTGAGGCTTGTAGAGTGCTCCTGGGGGCTGGGGGGGGGGGAGCCAAAACATCCTAAAAATGACCTGTTTTTCAGAAAAACAGACCCTTTGGATGCATCTGCTTTGGGAGGCTTGTAGAATGATCCTAAAGGCTGGGGGGGGGAGGGCAAAAACGGGCCAAAAATGGCACATTTTTCACTCATTTTTGCTGTTCCCCAGCCCCCAGGAGTACTTTGCAGGCCTCCCAAAGTCTATGCACGTCCATTTTTGTGAAGGGGGCAGGGTTTCAGGAGGCCAAAAATGCTGTATTCAGTGTAAGTATCTTTTTGGTGGGAAAAAGGTGCATATTATAGTCTGAAAAATACGGTAGGTATTTAGTAAAGCACAAATTCTACATTCAAACCTCAAGAATTTTTATTTTATTATATGGATTTTTAGTCTACTAGTTTTGATTTGCTTTTCACTTGGAGATCAGATGCTTATGACTAAGGAGTTTTATGTGGGTTTTATATTGAGTGGGCATATCAAATATTTGCTAAAAAGCTTAGACGCAATAGATGACAGGGAATGCCTACAAAAAATGAAGAATACTACAAATAGCCTTTCCACTAAGATCTTGAACTATTCTTTGACAGTAGACATCACACTTTCTCATCTGAATGCAACTGCTGTGACTGTATCAGAAAATTATGAAAGCTTTACTATTAAATTGGAACAGCAGAAACTTTCACAGAAGAGGCTGATATAACCATTATCAACCTGGAAAGAGCTGTGAATACTTCTAGAAACAGACATTTTGAGCAGAATGCTTATAGAAACAATATCTTTTGAACAGAACTAATCAATATTTCTAATAAAACAAAATGAAAGAAAAATGAAAGAATGAAAATTAAAAAGAGAAAAGTGAATTGTCTCTTACCTTGTTTAACTGTGCTATTATCTGGAATAAGTTTATCTTTCTAAAAGGAAAAAAAACAAGCAAAATACCTCCAAGAATTTGTAAATTTATGTTTTTTACTGTACATAAGTACATAAACACATCAATCACACTATCCCCTGCTCAGTTTAAAGCTGCATTGGACTTGCTAATTTTGCCAATTATCATTTTTTGTATCTTCCATGCAGGAATCTCTTACAGCACAGGCATAATTAACAAACTATTTCTTGGGTAGTCTTTGCATTCTCTTTAGCTACCTTTCCCTTTGAAAATGGAAATGATAACAGCATTCTTTCAACCTTCAAAGATACAATTTTCATACATTACGCAAGTTGCACAGTATTTTATGTCGAAGTCAAATATGTATTTTAGCATTTTTCCAGTTATACCGTTTTGCACTACACCCTTACCACTTTTAATATTATCACAACAGTTATGTATTCCTTTTCATAGAAGTTTATGTTAAATTGATTGAAAACCATATGCTGGAAAATCTAGGCTAAACATTGGCTAAAGGGTGGTTAGAACTCAGGCTGAAGAGTGTCTCCACAATCCACAACCAAACAGTGAAAAGTGGATAGCTAATCCTAGTAATTTATACAATGTTGGAAATTCAAGCCTATCTATAAATGGGGGAAGAGAAAAAAGAGTTCATAGGAGCCCATAAGACTGTAGATAAGAAATCCTTACGAATTAGATTCATGCTGAAGTTTATAGAAATTTAAATATGGGCAACTAAGTAAATAATTAGTTAGAAGATTTAGAAATAAGTATTAGCAATTTTATTTAAATACAAATTACAACTTTTGTATCATGAATCTTCTCATGAAGTAAAAGGATAACAATTAAGGTGACCAGATTTTCAGATTGGTAAAGAGGGACACCTTTGACCGGGGGGGGGGGGGGGG